AAGGATTTTATAAAACGTTACTTGTATAAATGTACATATTAGACATTGTGCTATTCTCGAACGAAACATTCGGTAGACATGTAATCAAAACGAAAATAAAACAAATGTTTTCTAAATCGTGCTTTGTCTTTTTCGGTTTGTTTTTCCATTTTAATATCAGTAAATTTGGAAGTGAACTTGATCTGTGTGATGTCAACCGTGGATTCCGAATAACACGTGATGTGAGGGAAAGTTTGGTCTGTGAAGTGTTGGTTTCTACATATCTTGCAATGGTGTGACTGGCTTGTGATGCGTTGGAGGTTTCTAAAATTAAATCCTCACATTTTTCAGAGAGAAGGAACAAAATGAAGAGGAAAATGGAAAGAATGAAAGTTTTTGAAGAAGAAACAAATGGAAGTTATTTTGAAAAGAAAAAAAATGGTAATTTTTTTACTGAAAAGGAAAAAAAAAAAGAAAGAAAAAGGTGAAAAATAAAAAGGGTTTAAAGGAGGAAGGAGAAAAAATGGAAAAAAATAACAAAATGAAAGAGGAAAAAAAGAAAAAAAAGAATGAAAGTGAAGGAAATAAAAGGAAGGAGGAAAAAAATCAATGGAAAGAGGAAAAAAAGAAAAAAAGAAAAGAAAAAAGGGAATAGAAAAGGAAAAAAAGAGGAAGGAGAAAAAATGGTAAAAATGTCAATGGAAAGAAAAAAAAGAAAAGAAAATGAAAGGAAAGGTGAAGGAAATAGAAGGAGAAAAAAAAAAAATGGAAGAGGAAAAAAAAGAAAAAAAAATATGTCAATGGAAAAAGAGGGAAAAAAAGAAAAGAAATGAAAGAGAAAAGAGGGAATAGAAGGTGAAGGAAATAAAGGAGGAAGGAAAAAAAATGGTAAAAATATGTCAATGGAAAAAAGAGAAAAGAAAGAGAGAAAAAGAGAAAAGAAAAAAAATGTCAATGGAAAGAGAAAAGGTGGAAGGAAATAAAGGAGGAAGGAGAAAAAAAGGGAATAGAGAAAGGTGAAGGAAATAAAGGAGGAAGGTAAAAAGAAAAAAAAAAAAAAAAATATGTCAATGGAAAGAGAGGAAAAAAGAGAAAAGAAATGAAAGAGAAAAGAGGGAATAGAAGGTGAAGGAAATAAAGGAGGAAGGAGAAAAAATGGTAAAAATATGTCAATGGAAAGAGAGGAAAAAAGAGAAAAGAAATGAAAGAGAAAAGAGGGAATAGAAGGTGAAGGAAATAAAGGAGGAAGGAGAAAAAAATGGTAAAAATATGTCAATGGAAAGAGAGGAAAAAAGAGAAAAGAAAAGAAAGAAAAAAAGGGAATAGAAGGTGAAAAAAAAGGAGGAAGGAGAAAAAATGGTAAAAAATATGTCAATGGAAAGAGAGGAAAGGAAATGAAAGGAGGGAATAAAAATGGAAAAAAAAGGAAAGGAAGGAAAAAATGAAGGAGAAAAAAAATCAATGGAAAGAGAAGAGAAAAGGAAAAAGAGAAAAAATGGTAAAAAAAATGGAAATGAAAGAGAAAAAGGGAATAGAAGGTGAAGGAAATAAAGGAGGAAGGAGAAAAAATGGTAAAAAATATGTCAATGGAAAGAGAGGAAAAAAAGAAAAAAGAAATGAAAGAGAAAAAGGGAATAGAAGGTGAAGGAAATAAAGGAGGAAGGAGAAAAAATGGTAAAAAATATGTCAATGGAAAAGAGAGAGAAAAAGAAAAAGAAAATGAAAAAAATAAAAAAAAAAAAGGGAATAGAAGGAAAAAGGAAATAAAGGAGGAAGGAGAAAAATGGAAAAAATTTCAATGGAAAAGAGAAAAAAGAAAAGAAATGAAAGAAAAAGGGGAAAGAAGGAAGGAAATAAAGGAGGAAGGAGAAAAAAAAAAAATATGTCAAAGAAAAAAAAAAAAAATGGAAAAGAAATGAAAAAGAAGGGAATAGAAGGTGAAGGAAATAAAGGAGGAAGGAGAGAAAAATGGTAAAAATATGTCAATGGAAAAGAGAGGAAAAAAGAAAAGAAAAAAGAAAGAGGAAAGAAGTTGAAGGAAATAAAGGAGGAAAGAAAAAAGGGAATAAAAGGTGAAGGGGAGAAAAAAAAAGGAAAGGAGGAAGGAGAAAAAATGGAAAAAAATAAGTCAATGGAAAGAGAGGAAAAAAGAAAAGAAATGAAAGAAAAAAGAGAAAAAAGGAATAGAAGGAAAGACAAAGGAGGAAGGAGAAAAAATGGTAAAAAATAAAGGAGGAAGGAGAAAAAAATGGAATAAAAAAATATGTCAATGGAAAGAGAAAAAAAAAAAGAGAAAAGAAATGAAAGAGAAAAGAGGAATAGAAGGTGAAAAATAAAGGAGGAAGGAGAAAAAAATGGTAAAAATATGTCAATGGAAAAGAGGAAAAAAGAAAAGAAAAAAAGAAAAAGAAAGGAGGTAATAGGAAGGTGTAAAAAAGGAATAAAGGAAAAAGAAGAAAAAAATGGTAGGAAAAAAATGTGGTATGGAAAGTCAAGAGGAAAAAAAAAGAAATGAAATGGAAAAGAGGGAATAGAAAAAAAAGGTGAAGGAGAAAAAAGGAGGAGGGAGAAAAAAAATGGAGAAAAAAAAATATGTCAATGGAAAAGAGGAAAAAAAAAAAATGAGAGGAAAAAAAGAAAAAGAAATGGAAAGAGAAAAAAAAGAGGGAAAAGGAAAAAAGGTGAAGTAAAATATGTCAATGGAAGAAAAAAAGGAGGTTTTAAGGAGAAAATGGGGAAAAAAAATGTCAATGGTAAAAATATAGTCAAGGAAAGAGAAAAAAAAAGAGAAAAGAAATGAAAAGAAAAGAGGGAATAGAAGGTGAAGGAAATAAAGGAGGAAGGAGAAAAAATGAAGAGAAATGGTAAAAAAAATATATGAAAAAGAGAGGAAAGAGAAAAAAAAAAGGAAAAAAAAATTGAAAGAAAAAGGGAAATATAGGAAAAAGAAAAAATAAAAAAAAAAGAGAAAAAAAGAGAAAGAAACAAAAAATGGAAAAAAATAAAGGAAAGAAAGAGAAAAAAAAAAAAATAGAAGGAGAAAAGAGAAAAGAGGGAAGAAGGGAAGGAAATAAAGGAGGAAAAAAATGGGAAAAAATATGTCAATGGAAAGAGAGGGAAAAAGTAAAAAAAAAAGAAAAAAAAGATGGGGAAAAGAGGAAAAAAGGAAAGGAAAGAAAAAAAGAAGTTAGGAAGGAAATGGAAGAGAAAAAAAAGGAGAAAGAGGAAAAAGGTGAAGGAAATAGAGAAAAAGAAAAAATGGTAAAAATATGTCAATGGAAAGAGAGGAAAAAGAAAAGAAATGAAAGAGAAAAGAGGAATAGAAGGTGAAGGAAATAAAGGAGGAAGGAGAAAAAATGGTAAAAAAAATATGAAAATGGAAAAAAAAAAGAAAGCAAAAAAAAAGAAAGTGAAAAAAAATAAAGGAGGAAAGACAAAAAAATGGTAAAAAAAGTCAAGGAAAAAAAAAAAGGTGAAGGAAAGGAAAAAGAGGTTAGGGAGGAAGGAAGGAGAAAAATGGTAAAAAATATGTCAAAAAAAAAGAGAGGAAAAAGAGAAAGAAAGAGGAAAAAAGAGAAAGGAAAAGACAAAAAAGGAAAAAAATGGTAAAAATAGAATGGAAAGAAAAAAAAAAAGTTACCTAAAAATAGAAAACAAAAAAGAGAGAAAAATAGAAGGAGAAAATGGTAAAAAAATGTCAATCAATGGAAAGAGAGGAAAAAAGAGAAAAGAAATGAAAGAGAAAAGAGGGAAAAAAAAAAGGTGAAGGAAAAAAAGGAGGAAGGAAAAAAATGGTGAAAAAATATGAGGAATGGAAAATGGTAAAAAAAAAGAAGGAAAAAAAGAGAAAAAAAGGTGAAGGAAGAAAAAAAAAGAGAGAAAAAAAGTAAAATATGTCAATGGAAGGGAAAAGGAAATAGAAAGAGAGGAAGAAAAAATGAAAAAAATGGAAAAAATATGTCAATGGAGTAAAAAAGAGAGGAAAAAAAGGAGAAAAAAAAAAGGAGAAAAAAAAAAAAAATGTAAAAAATAGAAAAAAAAAAAAAAGGGAAAAGAAAAAAAAGAAGGGAAAGGTGGAAGGAAAGGAAAAGGAGGAAGGAAAAAAAAAAAAATATGTCAATGGAAAAGAAGAGGAAAAAGAGAAAAGAAATGAAAAAAGAAAAAAGGAATAGAAAAAAAAAATAAATGGAGGAAGGAGAAAAATGGTAAAAAAATATAAAATGGAAAAAGGAAAAAAAAAAAGAAATGAAAGAAAAAAGAGGGAAAAAAGGTGAAGGAAAAAAAGGAGGAAGGAGAAAAAATGGTAAAAAATATGTCAATGGAAAAAGAGGAAAAAAGAGAAAAAAAAGAGGAAAAGAGAAAAAAATAGAAGGTGAAGGAAAAAAAAGGAAGGAAAAAAATGGTAAAAATATGTCAATGGAAAGAGAGGAAAAAAAAAAAATAAAAAGAGAAAAAAAAGAAGGTGAAGGAAAAAAAAGGAGGAAGGAGAAAAAATGGTAAAAATATGTCAATGGAAAGAGAGGAAAAAAAAAATGAAAAAGAGAAAAGAGGGGGAATAAAAGGTGAAGGAAAAAAAAAGGAAGGAGAAAAATGGTAAAAAAATATGTCAATGGAAAGAAAAAAAAAGAAAAAGAAATGAAAGAGAAAAGAGGGAAAGAAGGTGAAGGAAATAAAGGAGGAAGGAGAAAAAATGGTAAAAAATAAAAAATAGAAGGTGAAAAATAAAGGAGGAAGGAGAAAAAATGGTAAAAATATGTCAATGGAAAGGGAAAAAAGAAAAAAGAAATGAAATAGGTAAAGAAAAATAAAGGAGGAAGGAGAAAAAAATGGTAAAAAATATGTCAATGGAAAAGAGGAAAAAAGAAAAGAAAAGAAAGAAAGAAAAAATCGAAAAAGGTGAAGGGAAATAAGGAGAAAGGAGAAAAAAAAAAAATAAAGAAAAAGAGAAAAGAAATGAAAGAGAAAAAGGGAATAGAAGGTGAAGGAAATAAAAGGAAGGAGAAAAAATGGTAAAAAATATGTCAATGGAAAAAGAAAAAAGAAAAGAAATGAAAGAGAAAAGAGGGAATAGAAGGTGAAGGAAATAAAGGAGGAAGGAGAAAAAATGGTAAAAATATGTCAATGGAAAGAGAGGAAAAAAAAAAAGAAATGAAAGAGAAAAGAAGAATGAAAAAAATAAAGGAGGATGAAAAAATGAAAAAAAAAATGAAAATGGAAAAAGAAAAAAAAATGAAAGAAAAAAAAAGAAAGGAAAGGAGAGAAAGGAAAGGAGAAAAAAATGGTAAAAAATGAAAGAGAGGAAAAATAAAAAAGAAAAATCGAAGGAGAAAAATATGATGGAAAAGAAGGAAAAAAATGTGGAAAAAAAAGAAAAGAAATGAAAAGAAAAAGGAAGAATGAAGGAAATAAAGGAGGAAGGAGAAAAATGGTAAAAAAATGTCAATGGAAAAGAAAAAAAGAGAAAAAAAATGAAAGAAAAAGAATAGAAAATTGAAGGAAAAAAAAGGAAAGGAAAAAAAAAAAAAAATGTCAATGGAAGAGAGGAAAAAGAAAAGAAATAAAAAGAGAAAAAGGGAAAGAAAAAAAAAAAGGAGAAAAAAATGGTAAAAATATGTCGAAAAGAAATGAAAAAATGGGTGAAGGAAATAAAAGGAAGGAGAAAAATGGTAAAAAATGTCAATGGAAAGAAAAAAAAAGAAAGAAATTAAAGAAAGAAAACAAAAAAGTGAAAAAAAAGACAAAAAAAGGAAAAATGCAAAAGAAAGAACAGAATGAAAAATATAAAAAAAGATGAAAAGAAAAAAGAGAATGGAAGAAGCAACGACAGAATGAAAATCGCGCAATAAAAGTAATGAATGAAAAAAAAAAAACAAAAAAAAAAGAAAAGAATAAATGTAAAAAGAAAAGAAAAATGAAAAAAACTGAAAAAAAAAAAAGATTCAGCGATGAAAAAAAAATAAAGAGATAAATTGAAGAATGAAAATAAGACAAATCGAAGAATGAAAAAAAAAAAAAGAAAAAAAGGAAGAATGAAAAAAAAAGACAAATTGAAAAAAAATAGATAAATCGAAGAATGAAAAAGAAAAAGGTAAATCGAAGAATGAAAAAACAAAGACAAATCGATGATTGAAAAAAGAAACTGATAAATCGAAGAATGAAAAAGAAAAAGTTTTGAAAGAAGAAATATAACGAGATGAAAAGCTGAAAGACAGCATGAAAAAAAAACTGAATTAATGAAAGAGAGAATAAATGAAAAAAAAACTGAAAAAAAAAGATTCAGCCGAAAAAGAAAGGGAAAAAAAGAAAGAGAAAAAAAGGAAGAGTTTTTGTTTTTAAATTCAAGCATTTGAAATAAAAACGGGGAAAAGACCAAATACGAAAAAAGAAAAACACAGAAAAAAAAAATTTAAAAAAAAAATCAATGAATGAAAATTACGTTTTGACAGTCCTGATGGATTAAATTAATTTTTTTTTTTTTTTACTGAACTATGTGCGTGAACTCGTTTTTCATTAATGGGTTTATTTATTCGAATTTTCAACTCTCGCCTAGTTCTTCAGTGCTCTCGTTCATCGATATGTCCAGCGAGAAACGAAGTGTGTCGTACTACGCACGCGCAGAGTAATTTATTGCTCATAACATTTGGTGACAAACTGAATGATAGGGAATTTTTGTTTTGCTTCTAAACAGAGACAACCAACAACAAAATATAACAGGAAAAAATCACCCACAGTTTCCGCAGTGAACCAATAAATAAACGAAAAAAAAATCAAGTCAGTCGATTTAATTCATTGTTTTATTAACCCTACGTCAGATTCCCAAAATTAATTTAGTTTTATAAAATATAAAACTTCTACATGGCCTGAGAAATTCTTGATTTCTTCATTTTGCATTTGTGTTTTATTAAATGACATTTCTAACGAAAAAAAAATCGTTCTCTTCTCCTCCGTCAGCAGATAACTTCTGACTGTGAGTAAAATTAGCCATTCTGTCTTCTCAAAAGATCGCTCAGACAAGTTCTTCAAATTTCGACATTTTGAAAGTTTCGATCCCTGTGTCCAGCAGCACCTCAACTACTGTTATTGTGTTCTTTTTTTGTTGCTTTAGTATGGATATTTAAAGCAGTATTCGGACAAATAAAATTAGTTCGCTTGTCCTGAGTATTACTGAAAGAAAAGGGGCACAATTGCCAGCATATTCAGATATAAATATAGTTATTTAGTAAACATAGCTTAGATGTGGCACAAGGGCGTGATTATGTGAGGATCAAACGCACGACTCGGAATTGATCCAGCAAGACAAGCTTGTTAAACATTACACCACATCGAATATATACACATTGCACACACACATATATACACATTACACACACATACATATATACACACACACACAGACATATATACACATTACACACACAGACATATATATATATATATATATATATATATATATATATATATATATATATATTACATACACATACACATATATACACATTACAAACACACTCACATATATATACAGATTACACAGACACATATACAAATTGCACACACATACATATATCTGTCTATATTTCTGAGATGAGATTATGTACATTATTTACATTATTCGGACTATTGTTCAATCTCCGAAATATAAAAAATAATGTACATACATATATATATATATATACATAGGCACATTATACACACATTACACACACACACACACACACACACACACACACACACACACACATATATATATATATATATATATATATATATATATATATATATATATATATATATATATATATATATATATATATATCCGCTGAGATTATATGAGGATCTAACGCTCATAAAGCGAGAGAAGCTTATTAAACATTACCAAACGTCGAATAAATATACGCAACACACACACACACACACACACACACACACACACACACACACACACATATATATATATATATATATATATATATATATATATATATATATAAAAGGTATTAGATCTTATGATAAGTTGTCCGTTGGTCACACCAACATAATTAGTATAACGTACGGGAATGCATTTATCAATTGCCTCAAGAAACCTTACCAATAAGAACCATGGTAGCGTAAATGGTTTGTATTATTTGACTTTAATATATATATATATATATATATATATATATATATATATATATATATATATATATGTGTGTGGGGGGGTCCTCGAATTATATACATATATAACGTCGAGGAATACAACTAACCTCTACTGTCTTAAGAAACCTTACCAGTGGAAACCATGGAAGTATAATTGGTTAGTATTGTTTGACTTTAATATATATATATATATATATATATATATATATATATATATATATATATATTATTGTGTGTGTGTGTGTGTGTGTGTAGGGAGTCCCTCGACTTACGACAGTGATCCGACGTAACGTGATTTTCGACGTAGGTTGGAATTCACCTCACACGAGTATGCCTTTATGCTTGAGACCCATAATGAAGGGCAAAAAGTGGATATAACACAATCCAATATGGTGTACAGTAGGCGAAGAAATAACGCCGCTTTCCTCATTTGTCGCTGAGTCACGACGTATTATATTGTAGGAGATGGTGCCGTAAACACGAAACGACGTAGATCGGGTCCGAGGCAACCCGATGACCTTATATATATATATATATATATATATATATATATATATATATATATATATATATATATAAAGTATGTGGTGCAGTTAAATTTACATTACATGAATCATTCAATATCTTGTATGAATGATTCCTGTAATATATATATATATATATATATATATATATATATATATATATATATATATATATATATGTGTGTATATATATATATATATATATATATATATATATATATATAAAGACAAAAGGAAAGACTATTCTTACACGCTGAAAATAATTCATTCTACACACACACACACACTATATATATAAAGAAATATAGTCTTAAGGTGTGCAATATTTATATGATTCAGTGCTCAATATCAGAGATAGAGCATGTAAATACAGCCTGTCGCCTCTAAGCGTTGACTTCAATGTTCTTTTATATTATTATATATATATATATATATATATATATATATATATATATATATATATATAGGAATCTAAAAAAGATAAACTAAATAAATTGTCTGAAGTTATTTGAAAGAACTTTTCCCAATATAATAATTGGGAACTATCTACCAAGTATGAATAGGTTACTTTCTTTTTATTTTTAAGAAATGGTAACCATATATATTATAACTTGTAAATGTAGACCTGTGATATTTTAACTTGACATTTATTTGATTCCCAGCATTCCCAGAGCGCGTGACAAGAATTGAAGCACAGAAATACCCGACAAAAATCGTTCAGATTGTAAAATAAAAGAAAGTACATTTATCTTACCAACTTGTCGAACAGAAGAGAAGACATACTCACCTGTAAAAGAAGAAAAAAATCATGTAAGTTTTCATATTAAAAAAACGAGTAAAGAAAACTGTTGTTACTTAATTGAAATTCATATGACTTTTGTCTCAGAAATAAAAAAAAAATGTACATACAAAGTTCATAAATGCATTCATTCAGTAGCATTGGAAAATAATATCACATCTTTGGAAATAAAATAAAAAAACTTATTAAAAAGGAAATTAAAAAAAACTGAAAGTCTTCTTATTAATAAATAAAAGTGAAGTACTCCTCAAGAGTAATTGGGATATTAACTTTTGAATCGGCATCTCAATCAAGAACCAATGTGGTTTTTGTGCGATTTATCAAGGATCAAAGTTCCGCTGATCGGCCCTCTACTTAAAAACAATGTAATATTTGAGCAATTTGTCTAGGATCAACGTTTCACCGATTGGTCCTCTATCTGAAAACAATATAATACTTGTGCGCTTTGCCTAGGGTCAAACATTCTTTGAATGGCCCTCTACCTAAAAACAATACAATATTTGAGCGCTTTGTCTAGGATCAAAGTTTCGTTGATTGGCCCTCTACCTAAAAACAATATAATATTTGAGACATTTGTCTAGGATCAAATTTTCGCTGATCGGCCCTCGACCTATAACCATGTAATATTTATGCGCTTTGTCTAGGGTCAAAGTTTTTCTGATTAGCCCTCTTCCTAAAAACGACTAAAAAAGAGGGACGGGCTTCGCCAGCTTAAAACGCCCAAGACAAGCCACATGTTGAGCACACCAAGAAACCATTCTCTAAGACGCAGGCTCTAGCATACGACCGTGGCAGATGGTGAAGAATGGTGGACAGCTCCAAACCAACCAACGATTCCTTCCGGGGTTAAGGGCCAAAGATGAAGAAGAATATATGTGGCTGGGAATGATTTTAATTTCCGAATACGCGTTGAAAAAGAATCTGCATATTTATTTAAACTAAAAAAGACATCCTTGATAATGGTTAATAGATTAACGTAAAGCGCTTGGATCCAAAGATCATTTAGCCGGATATTGCACATTCTATGTCCAGAAAAGAAATCACTTGTAAGAATCCAGGAAATATTTAACATAAAGCTTAATCGCAGTGCTTTGTCACGGTGGAGTAATGGATATCGGCTTGGATTGAGGAATCGGAGAGCCGAGATCGAATTCCAGTCGAATCCATTACATTAACTTACGTGCTAAAACCCTTGGGAAAGGTATGAATCCTCTTCTTCTCCCTCCAGCTATGGGTAAATAGCAGGAAAGACTGGGTTCTATAGCCTTGGATGGCAACTGGTCTAGCAGAACCTGAGACTCTGAATTCAAAACTTGCGGAAGGTCGTTTGGGGACCTTGTGGCACGTAGTGCACCAGGTCTCTGTAATCGGCCCTTCAAAAAGTGTGGATGGTCCTGCACGAAACCTTCACCACTATAATCAAATCTCATGTGCTATACATGCGGGTTTGGGGACCGCTTGGGAATTCCAAATTCCCATGAACCTCCAATATTGGAGCCGGCTCAACCCACCCCGGGTGAATGCCGTTACAAGAACAAGAAGTGCTTTGTCGCTCGTCTTCAATGAAACTTGTATGAAAGAGAGATCGCTGACGGAACCCTTTGTAGCCGTCGATCGTTGTGCTAGCAGGAAGTCACAAGTCATCGTGACCGAGGTTTTGTGCGTGCTAGCCTTGTTCAGACTGTTGATCCCGCTAGATAACACGCTTTCTTCCAGAAACTGTAGCTAAGATCCGCTCAGCATACTTGCAGTATAAACGGTAGGTGGACTCTGTGGGTGTTGAATGCACACAAATGTACCTGAGACGGTGTCTGCAATGGGGATCAACTAGACGCCCTAGTAGACTGGCATCCTTGGATTCGAGTGGCTGCGCCATTTACTTTT